CGGGCTCTGGATATACCTCAATCAACACTTAAATTCCAATAAACTGTTAACTTATATAAAATGTTTCTTACTTCGTTAAGAATAAAATAAGAATTTACAACTTATTTATTTTTAATTTAACAAGAAAGTACAAAATCAAAATATATTTCTATAGGTAACTTTTGTAAATTCGCAAAAAATTTAATTACTCTAAATTTACATTTATTGCTAGCTCCCAAGTGTATAACAGACTAATGTTGGCAAGAAACAATTCGCCACACTTACTTTACATATAACTGCAACCATTTAAGCTCAAGTGATACGGAATTATGATTACATAAAAAAACCTTTTAGTCTCTCTCAGCAGTGGGCATGGTCAAACACAAAGTAAGTATTGCATTCAATTGAGTGTTCCAGCCCATATTATGTCCTTGAGAACGTACCAGATAAAATAACATTTGTTTTAAGTCTTAACAATATCGATAGGAAAAGAATACCCGTCATACATATTATGTAGATAAAAGCTAAATATTTCATATTAACTCGAACATTTTAGGTCTTTACGATGAGAAATAAAGTAATGATTTGATATTAATTATCAGATTTACTGATCTTAAAAAACACCAGGTAGAGATTACCTTTTGTGTTTCATCCTGTAAGTGTTTTCATTGAAATAACCTTTATGAACAGAGAGTGCGTTCATCCCCGATGTCGTGGGCTCGTACCCTGGCTGTGCACCAATTGACCTTCCTTCTATGCATTTGTCACTTGCTCGTATTGATGAAAAACACCAACATGCCTTAAGGCCAAAACTTGACGGCGTATGTCAGTCAAAGAAGGGTGTGATCACCTATCTGCCTATTCGAAAAAAGACGGTTACAAAGCATATAGCTATATAAATCTGAGGCCTAGACGTGAAAAGGGTATTTTATTTATAGGTACATCAAACCGCAAAATTACATAGTTCACCGGGCGTACGAGTAGCTCTAAGCTTCCAAGAAGCCCGAAATTACCTCTTTTTAAATACATTTATCTTGTTTAAACTTTGTAAATTTTGCAATGAAGTTCGATAATTATTATTAAAGCTTTATTAATTAATCCCTACAACAATTGGTTAGCCAACATTCCTTAATTCCAGTATAGTTAGTATAAGTTTTAAAAATTCAAAGTTAGATTTCTTTTTCTTTTTAATCTATTGCATAGATTTTATCGCGGGCTTTGAGCGCGGCGACCAAATCAAGAAATTCCGTAACGAAAAAACCTTACGCGTTAGAGTGGGATAGAACGCATACTGCGCATTCCCATCTCTCTGACGAGATCGGTGACGAAGCGTGAGCATGGCCGGTGCAGCCATTTAATCTGAGTCTGGTAGATTGGTAGATTGAAATAATATCAAAGCAAAAAACTTAAATTAATATCAAAGAATAACTAATACTGCATTCTATGCAATAGCTTTACCGCGGCAGTCCCCGAGTGCCTCACGTTTTTTTTTATAAACTTACCCCAAGATACATATAGATTGTCCTATGTTAGAATATTTTCACATAAAACAAGTTTTAACTTCGCTAAAAATGGCTAACTCACTGGTAAATCACGACTTCAGCGAGGGAAGAGCAACTTTTAATTTGACTTAAAAAATCTACATTTAAATGAGATGAGATGTCAAATGGTATTATCAGAATACCAAATACCAACAATTTTGGAGCGTAAGTGTATGGAGTGCCAAATTTTAGTTCCAAATGTAAACAATCTCATTTGAGCGGCGCTTTTGTCGCGGTTATTGTTTATCAGAATACCAAATTGTAACATGACACCTTCACGAACGATTTGAGAGCAAAAATCCGCTGTGAGAGTGTGTGAAGTGAGTTACAGAATCGCAAGGCTGTCCTTCGATCGCCACGTCCGAGGCACGGTTCCAATCGAGGGACACGACAAGCTAGCGCTTGAGGCGCGGAATTGGGGGCGTGTTACCGGTATATGGTGGGCATTGCGTTGGAGTCTATGCTGACGCTGTCCGGTGGACCGAAGGGTGTGTGCGGTGTGTGGCGGCTGACCGTAGACTCGCTGCGCGACATGGCGCTCTCTTTGCCCTCCCGCTGCTCATCCTTCTGATACCTAACTCATCTGAAACAGACACTCCCACGACTGAAGGAAGGGACGTAGCGGGTTAAGTCACACGGAACAGAAACTTGCATGCCCTAACTTCTAGGACTAACGCGAGCCACACGATGATCTGAGCGCAGGTTGACACCAGGGCACGCGACAGGCTCACGCACTGCGGTCTAAAGGCCGATTTACATTATCTTAGTGTTTAGGAGAGTGCTTTAGGATAGTACTTTAGTTGAAACATGTAAACGCTACTTGCTTTAGTACGGTTCTACTTGACTTTCAAGTTGAATCAAAATAGAATCGCTTTTTATTTTTGTTTCAAGTGATACCCCTCCCGCGCCCGCGCAACCCCCGAGATCTTCCCTCGTTGTGTGTAAACACGTAATTTAGTACAATCTTTAGGAGAGTGCACAAGTGCCGTGAAACGCGTGCGTGTTGTTTGATTTTTTAAGATGGCTAAATGGTCGGAAGATACAACTATCAAATTTGTGTCTGAATATATTGTTCACGAATGTTTGTGGAACGTTAAAAACAATTTATACAAAAACAAACATGCTAGGCATTCGGCATACACTGCCTTAAAAGAAGCTATTTTATTTATTATTCATATTTAGTTTATTTATTTCGAATAAAATCTCGTCTTCTATTTGTTACATAACTCCAATTAGTATTTTGCGTAGAATAGAGCTTATTTGCCGACGTCGTTGCGCGTTCATTGTGGCGCTGTAATGAATAATGATACTCTACTGGAAGAAATGTAAACGTTCACTCGCAACGCACTAAAGCACTAAAGAACTTGCCTTTCAACTTGTACTAAAATACTCTCCTAAACACTAAGATAATGTAAATCGGCCCTAACGTCTGCCGGGGAAAGGCAGGCGATTGCCGCAGCTATGCGCGCGCAGTTCTAGTGTCTACTGCGCACGTCTACTTACTATGACCTACACTTGCACTCACGATTTCCTCACATAGGTAACTACAATTTCTAAAAACTCTTCTAATATTTCTTAAATTCCTACTATCATTACTAATTTCTCTCAAAAATTAATTAATTAACCAATACGCTACAATTGGGTTGATATATACTATGTTTATAGGTTTTAGTTAAACAAATGTATTTGTAAGTAATACACCTTGTTGTATTAGGTAAACAGCACGTAACTTCTATATCGATTTCAACAACAGTAATGAATATTTGATTCGGCACTTTATTAGAGATTTATACCTAATCATGAGTTTTGGTCCTACGGAATAACCCCGCGGGTTGATGGTAAAAACAGAATTTACTAAAAATCGATATCATTATTATTATTTAATTCAAACTATTAAATTACAACAAGAAAAAAAAATGAATACATGATAGGTTGCGGTGTAGTGAGTTCTCCATCCTGAGATTAAGTAATAATTTGGAATTGAGCTAATACGTAATGTTTCGCTTTCCGTAAAAATAACCCATACGTGATTTCCAGTATTCACTCCGAATATACGTGTTTAGAAAACTGCTTCGACATTTCAGGATTTATTATTGTGGTAAATATTTTTATTTTCTTTAACTCCATCCTATACAAAAAATAATGTTATTATACGTAACTTTCTTTTACTTTTTATATCAATATAAAACCAATGTATATAATTTGTAACCAACCGTCAAAAAACAATGGCTTTATTTATTATACCTATATAATAAATAAGTATTACCACCTGTTTGTTGTTAATTACATACACTTTTAGTTGTTGTACTTTTTGCGTAATTAGATATAAATAGAAACAAGACTTTTTATTTATATAAGGTGAACCACAACCAGAGCGCATGTGCAAAACTCGCTGGACCTGCGTTCGCATAGCTGGGGCAGCTGTCACCTTTTCTCCACAGACGGCCAACCGCAGTGCACGTATTCGTTGAGGGTTTAAGCGAGAGCGGATTCGAGAGCAACAGTCAGCCAGTGGTTAGATCATCGTTAGTCCTAGATATTAGGGCCGATTTACATTATCTTAGTGTTTAGGAGAGTATTTTAGTACAAGTTGAAAGGCAAGTTCTTTAGTGCTTTAGTGCGTTGCGAGTGAACGTTTACATTTCTTCCAGTAGAGTATCATTATTCATTACAGCGCCACAATGAACGCGCAACGACGTCGGCAAATAAGTTCTATTCTACGCAAAATACTAATTGGAGTTATGTAACAAATAGAAGACGAGATTTTATTCGAAATAAATAAACTAAATATGAATAATAAATAAAATAGCTTCTTTTAAGGCAGTGTATGCCGAATGCCTAGCATGTTTGTTTTTGTATAAATTGTTTTTAACGTTCCACAAACATTCGTGAACAATATATTCAGACACAAATTTGATAGTTGTATCTTCCGACCATTTAGCCATCTTAAAAAATAAAAAAACACGCACGCGTTTCACGGCACTTGTGCACTCTCCTAAAGATTGTACTAAATTACGTGTTTACACACAACGAGGGAAGATCTCGGGGGTTGCGCGGGCGCGGGAGGGGTATCACTTGAAACAAAAATAAAAAGCGATTCTATTTTGATTCAACTTGAAAGTCAAGTAGAACCGTACTAAAGCAAGTAGCGTTTACATGTTTCAACTAAAGTACTATCTTAAAGCACTCTCCTAAACACTAAGATAATGTAAATCGGCCTTTAGATAGTTAGGCTACGCTTGCTTTTCTACGTGTGACTTAACCCGCTACGTCCTTTCCTTCAACCGTGAGAGTGTATGTTTCAGACGAGTTAGGTATGAAGAGAACGGATCAGCGGCAAAACAAAGGAAACACCATGTCACGAAGCAAATTCACGGTCAGCCGCCGCACACCGCACACACCACTCGGTCTACCCGACAGCGTCAGCGTAGACTACAACCCAATGCTCACCATATACCGGTAACGCCCTAGCCTCTGCACCTAGCGTTGTGTCTCTCGATCAAAACTGTTCCTCGGACGATCGAAGGACAGGGCGTCAACCATGCTCAGCAATGCACGACACAGTAAATTCAGCGCCACTTCACTCGCTGTCACAGTCGACGTCACATGATCCCCGCGGCGCATCTCTGGAGTGCAATCCATCGAGAGTGCTACGATATGCTATGCTCTGATCGCTTGCTTTAAGACGAATTATCAAATTGTCGTGAATATCAATCCAAAGAAAAGCCAATGGCCCGATATGAACCCTCTCATTGTTCCTTTGACATTTTTCTATTTACATTAGCCAGCCATCAGGTTGTAGCTAGCTTAGCTTTCATATCAGTGCCGTCGACGAGGTAAGTTATCATTAATATTACTTAAAACTTACCTTTCTTCCTGACTCCCGCATTTTCTTTTTCACTCTCTATGCTTTGTGGAGTTATAGAATTTAATTAGAGAAATTGTATGTAGCAAATATTCCGTTCTATTTAATTTGTATTTGTGTATAATTTTGGTTTATATCGATAGCAATTGAAGTATCGACACTTAGAGTACGCGTCCATAATCTATGAAATCCATTTTATTGTATTATTAAAATATATTTTACTACATAATACATTTTGATATAAGGCAAAAAGTACATTTTACCTCGGTTGGAGTCCAGCGCGCTGTGCCCCAATACATCGCATATCCTTGGTTTATGAGGTAGTCCATTGTTCGGACCAATTCTGCAATAAGCAATTTTATAACATTGAGACAATACTTAGTATCGATTCAATTATATAGAATGCAGGGTCTTACCTTCCATCGGACATACGGGATCCACTTTATGTACAAGAACTAAGTCTATGTACTCTAGCTGGAGCCTCCCCAATGACTCGTTCACGCTTTCTATTATATGTTTTCGAGATTGACCTCTTTCTTCACACCTATAAATAAAAAACAAGTTTTACTTTTATGTACGTATCTATGTGAACATATCCGTTAAATTATAGAATAAAGATATACCAGGGTTACTGGTATTTTTTTTATTTCTAATAAACAAGAAAACTCACTTAGTACTCCAATAGATTTTGGTTGTAATAATAATACTGGATCGATTAACGTTTCTTTTCTTCAGTATTCTGCCCAATTCTGCTTCACCCTGTGCTAAAATCGTTAAAAGTTATTAGTTTAGTCAATAAAGTGTCAAGTTTAAAAACTACCATTATGTTACATCAGACATTATTAAAATGCAGGTGGAATATAATAAGTTATATATATTACTAATTATATTCCACCTGTAATATATTATAGTAATATATTATAAAATAAAAAGTTTATTCTAAATTTCTGCTTAAACACTACACTTTTTTTAACAACTGCTTAGGTACTATTTTCTAAATTGCAAGCACAATAATAAATTCCATATGATTAAAAATACTCTACTGTAGCTAGTTATTTTATACTTACACGGTATCGATATAAACCAAAATTATACACAAATACAAATTAAATAGAACGGAATATTTGCTACATACAATTTCTCTAATTAAATTCTATTACTCCATAAAGCATGGCATTAGCTCCAAGCTCTCGCTATCCTTTTTATGCTTTTTAGACAGTGTTTTTGGGAAGGATATCTTAAGAAGAACTTCACTGTCAAAGCTCACTTGGCTTTGGGATTTACCACAATACATAACACGTACAGCTGAGAAAATTGTTTATATATGTAAATTTATAGTGCTTACATTAAATTGATTATCCAATATTTTTGTAGCCAGTTTGGAGAATATGGCACGTCAGTCGTCAGTGTACATGGGGAACCACGCAAGTATGCCGTCATCCGTAATAAAAATAAAACTTGTTTTTTATTTATAGGTGTGAAGAAAGAGGTCAATCTCGAAAACATATAATAGAAAGCGTGAACGAGTCATTGGGGAGGTTCCAGCTAGAGTACATAGACTTAGTTCTTGTACATAAAGTGGATCCCGTATGTCCGATGGAAGGTAGGACCCTGCATTCTATATAATTGAATCGATACTAAGTATTGTCTCAATGTTATAAAATTGCTTATTGCAGAATTGGTCCGAACAATGGACTACCTCATAAACCAAGGATATGCGATGTATTGGGGCACAGCGCGCTGGACTCCAACCGAGGTAAAATGTACTTTTTGCCTTATATCAAAATGTATTATGTAGTAAAATATATTTTAATAATACAATAAAATGGATTTCATAGATTATGGACGCGTACTCTAAGTGTCGATCTTTCAATTGCTGTCCGCCGGTCGTCGAGCAGACAGAGTACCATATGTTCTGTCGTGAAAAGACCGAACTGTATATGCCAGAAGTGTATCATAAAATTGGAGTGGGTCAGTATATTAATTTTAGTATTGTAGGTACCCATGATCGATCGTAATCATTGTCTTTGTATGCAGGAACTATGGTGTGGTCTGCACTAACTACTGATGAATCTCGCTTCAACCGCAAATACAGCACATTCAGCTCGTGGGAGGAGGAACTCGTTGCTAGCAATGTAACTAAAGCATTCATTAAACATCCTTTACATAATATATTTTTAATAAAATAAGCTTAAATAAGGTGTTTTTATAGGAACTCGAAAACAATGAATCTACAGTAGCCGAAGAGTCACGAAGTTTCAAGGACAAACTGAAAGCTCTCTCCGACCTAGCCAATGCCTTGAGCGAGTATAATTTATGATTCGCTATAATTATAAAATCGAGTTATTAATATTTACGCCTGTCTCATTGTGTTTTCAGATTGCTCGATAAGGCAGTTGTCGGTGGCGTGGTGTCTTAAAAATGAAAATATAACCTGCTTACTTCTAGGCGCTACAAGTGTCGAACAATTCAAAGAAAATATACACGCACTGCAGGTATCTTATTTAGGAGGTGATTTTTACATTACAGAGGAATCTATCGTAATCGTAAAAATACGTAATCAAGTAATATGTTGTTTTAATTGTTGGTTGTGGACAAAAACCAAGCTATGATATTTTACTGCAGAAATTTCATTTACTGCAGTCATTTTTATTTCCTCAAATAAACAGTTCATGTATTATTGTATCTAATGAGTCATTTAATTCGATTTCACAGATCGTGCCTCAATTGTCTAAGGCGGTGATTTTGGACATCGAAAAAATTTTGGCAAACAAACCAGAAGCTGCGTAAGTTAGTTCATTTAGCACTGAAGTTTTATTGTGAATCTTTGCATTCTAAGGTACTGTTTAACGAAACTTTTGTACGGTCAGTGATTGCACAGAGATGCCGAAAGAAGATGACGTGGAAGCCAACGTTTCAACCCCCGAGAAGGAGGAAGTAGTCAGGGGTTGTGCGGTTCAATGACTTTGGTGGAAACGAAACTCTGACGCGGCTTCCAAGTCTAGTAAATCTAAGGTCAGCTTCAAACTGAATTTTACAACAGTAAAAGAAAAATCATTGTATAACACACTCTTGTTCTTTATTTTACTTAGGACTCGCTAAAAGACTCAAAACCAAAGTTCTTTTTGAACAATGCTGGCGCAGTGATACGGCGCGAAGTACATGATGGCGTGACGTCCGATACATGAATCTTTGTAATTATTTCACTCAAGGACAAAAACTGATATTGTTTATCACAAATTAGTTAGAGGTAGCACTATATAGAAATCAATATTAATATGACTCTAGTCTATTTAACATATTAGTGTTTTATCTTTTATCCTACCTGTTATGTGACCTACCTAATTATGTATAAGTATATTTTGATGGAATGCATATTATTTTAGTATAGTATATAGTATGTGTATGTAGCGCACTGTGTATATATTTTTTTTAGAAATTGTTTAGAAAGTTCTAGACAACACTTTCATTCAATATTATGGTATAAAGTGTCTATTTTAGCTATATTAAGGTCAAATAAACCTTTGCGCACTGTCTCACATATCAATTGTTATAACAATGTGATTGTAAATATAAATTTAATAGTCAAGCTAAATGAAAGAGATAATTGACAGATTTAGTTTTAGTTCGCTTACCATACCATACGCTCTGTTGTTTGACTAAACTAAATAATTCAATCAGCCAAATGTATAATCAAATAATCAAAATGTATGTATATAATATAGTGTTAACCAATTCAAATGTTTTTCATTGTATACTTACTGCATGTATATTTTTACTGTCTCTAAGCTTTATAATAGTCCTGCTTGCGACAATTTGATTTGCATTTTTAAATTAATTAACTTCGAAAGTGATGAATTTGCGTTGCGAATAAAGTGTATTTAGTTTATTTTATTATTTAATGCAATTTTATAAAAAATAAAAATTACCATCAATACTACAGAGTAATTTTTATTATTTAGGTAGGTAATTATTTTAGCAAAATCTACGCAGCGTCGAAAACAAAAATGTATTATTATAAAAACTTCAAATACCTCCCCATACCATTAAAGGGCTCATAGTTCGCAACAAAATATAAAGCACAATCTACAATAAATTTACACATAGAATATGATTACAGTATACGAATGAATTGAATACATTGTGGTCTGTTGTCTTAAGGTAGTTAGGACCTTACTTATATTTGATTCGTATTACTCAAAAAGGTTAAGTCCTAGAGAATGACATGTGTCGAGTAGTCAAAGCTAGATATAAAATATTGTAAACCTATTTTAAAAGAATAAGTGTGGAGTTTCTTGCCCATTGTTCTCCACACGAAACTACCTTTTGGAAGGGGCAACTAGAATCTTCTTTGTATTTTGTTTGACGTTCAAAAGTGCCATTTTAGGTGGTCTAATTGAAATAAATGATTTGACATTGACTTTAGATACTGCTTTACACAATCGTTGTTGATAAGCAATGTGACGAGAGGGCGCTATTAGAAGCAATATTATTGGCTTAGAATCACTTAGGCGGGGATTATATGAATAATTAATCTAAAAGTTTATTGTATTTTATATATTTTGCAAGTACAAAATTCTGTAAAATCAAGATACTTATATTTTTTAATGCACCAGCAGAACTTCCAGTACTTGGGAATATTGATCATGTTTTAAGGGGTGTGTACCCAAATAGCAAGTATGGAACCTTTACAGTTTCGTCTTATCTGTCTATCCGTCCATCCGTATATCACATTCCTCAATTCGTAGTTACGTGATACTCAGTTGAATGTTGGTAAGTATAAATCTGAAGTGTATGAGAAGCCCTGATACCCCAGGCTACTCTAATGCACACAAAGTGTATCAACAGAATGGAAGACATTACTAATTTTGAAGTAATTCAAGAAAGATATACAACCAAATTTTGCTGTTGCAGAATCAGCAAGATTTAATTCAATGTAATAAAATTACATAATAATTAGTTATCACAATTTTACTTTATACAAGAATGAAAACTTTGCAAGAAAATTTTGATTTTACATAGTTTACTTTTCCTACAATCAAACTTGCAAAGAAGAATATTTATTGTAAAATATTCAATAAAACTTTGATCTATACTAAATTTATGGTAAAAGTTTACTGACATTTCATAGTAACATTGCTTGGGGTGGAAACCAAAGGTTCGGGTTGACCCTCTTCTTGCAAAGTGTACTTGTACTTCCTCACTATTTTCTTGTAGTTGGTGGACTAAGATGTACTATATTTGCAATTAAAAAAAGTGGTAAAGACTTTCATGCCATTTCATCTCGCCTACTCTACGTCCCTGATTTGGGGACTGGTAGAAAATGTAAATTTAGATTATCATCCCTTTTTTTTAATATAGACTCATAGGTATACACAGTACCAATATGATTAAATTATTTAATTTTGAACAGTAAGTGGAAGGCTGTCTTTAGGTGACAATTCCCTAAAATCAAACAAAATTTAAGAAGTGATTAGTTAAGCCATTTAAAATTAAACAACAATAAGAGTTAGGCCTTTTATGTTAAATTCTACCATACCATTTACTCCAATTGACAAAATATGAAAGACAAAATGTTTTCTATGTTAATATTGAACAGTTAGCCTAGTGGCTAAGCACACAACTGACAATCCTCTGGTCATACATTCATAACCTGGCTTTTTCACTATTACACCAATTGATATTTGTCTGCAATTAATACTTATTTGTCAGCAAACCAGTTTGTCTAATATCCAATAATCAAACAACGAAGGCTGATAAGCACCACAAGACACAGAAGGCTGATAAGCTACTCGTCTTTAAAAACAAAACATGCCTGTCTGTCTAGAATGCAGAAGGCTGTGGCCAAGTTCAAAAGTTATAGCCGGGACTCTTCCTTTTTAGTTAATATTACTTGTTTCTATATACTAACATTTTAAATGAGTTAAACAAATATAATTATATATAAAGCTCAAATTACAAATTTTCTCATTGAAGGTAAGTCTTTTAACCAAGCCAACTCCGACTACAAGAAAATAGGTATATCTACTCACCATTCTAACAAAATTATTAGCATGATTATTTTTAAAACATTCAACTATAAACTTTGAAACAATGATGATGATGATATTAATTTATCCCTAATGGGAAAGACAAAGGACTTTAGTCCATACAGCCCTTTGAAACAATGTTTTTTATTTTGAAGATCTTATGAATCTACTAGCTGACCCGGCGTCCAGCATATTGTCCTACAGGCACCTTATCGGCTCTGATAACAATTTTATGATTATCGGATGGCATGCGGTCTAATGCAGTTGTGAATAATGCAACTAATTCATTGTGTTGATGGAAAAACGTTTGAAGTTGTTCCACAATGGATCTTTTCACTGAGTTGTTGTGTGCGCAACGCTGATCGACTTCTCTTGCTGAATTGCGGATAAAATATATTTGCAAAAATTTATAGTCTTCATCAGGTATTGGCAATAAGGAACCTGTTCGATGATATATTTGACCCTGAATCTGCAAGAATATAAATATGTATTTAGGTAATTGTATATAGCAAATTGTTTTTTCATAACAACAGCAACTTTACAACTTCAATTCATTTCAAATTAAAACTACTTTAAACCTCGACATTGAACAGCAGCCTTCCATGGCAGCTTTAAGTAGTAGGCTTTTCCAATTATTGGAACACCTTGATCATGCCATTATGAAATACAACATGTTATAAAATGTTGCTGATTAAGTCATTGGGTTATTGACTATTATTATGTATTTGACTTATTGTTTACAAATTAAACACATCTACACAACACTGGCTCAACATATTTTGCACCAGCTACATGGTTGTAAAACTAAATGAAATTATTTGCCATTATACTTACTTACCTTGAAAGAAGGCATAAAATTGTCTCGAATAACTTTTGTTGAGCCAAATGATGTCATTTGAAAGCAATTATTGTATTGCTGGATATGAGTCAAAAAATGATTAGAATCTGGCCTATTTCCGGAAACCAATGAATGTAGTGGCTCTGGTGGTGGTACCAATGGCGTTAATTTGACTTGACCGCTGGCGCAACACAATACATGGGCTTCATTTTTGAATTTCAATGCATTGCAATGTGGACACACAATATTCATTAATCCAATAGCAACAATTCGCTCTGAACTGTAATCAATTGCCATATTATAACTGAATGTAGCTCTGTGGGGATTAAACACAACATTTCTATGTTGATTTCGATTTCGTTGAAGTTCATTTCGCGCTTCGCGTTGCTCATCAGTTTGATTTTTCTCTTATATTTCTTTGACTTGCCGTATTTCGAGTTCTGCGGCCTAAGTTTGTACGTCTGGTTGGTGGCATTGTTAAAAATGAAAATCCAACTGAAAATATAAAGATCTCATATATTTTCTGTATAACCATCTATACCAAATTGTTAAATTGTGTAGTCACCAAAAGTTACCAAAAATCCATATGAAGTGAATTGAACTTACCGTGATTAACAAACAAAAAACTTCTTCGTCTTTAAAACAAAACAAAATTTATCAAAAATTTAATAAAATTATTGTAATATGAATGTGTTGTCACAGATTACCACAGAATTTTTTGGTTTTAAATTTGAATGACGTTGACATTTGTTAGCGCGGTTATGTTTTTTTTTTTTTTTTTTTTTTTTTTTTATGGCCTGGTAGCGCGGTTATGGATGTGGTGTCAGAGATTATCACACTTTTATTTTTAATTCAATGACGTTGACATTCGTTATGCGCGTTTTTTAAAATATGCAAAATTAAATGTATATTTTTCAATCTTTCTGAGAGATTTTCTTAATATTTTTTTCCGTAAGAACCTTGTACAGAGTTTAAGAAAACTAAAAAAAAAAAATCAGACAAATCGGTCAAGCCGTTTTCATGTTATGTCGTGACAACGGAAAACGGGTTTCATTTTTATATAATATATAGATAAAATATAAACAGTGACAACCATGAATCATAGTGCTATAGTATTTTTATAGATAAACAGAAAATAACCGATTTTTTTGAAGTTGTACTTCTTTAGGTGCGTTATGAAAAATTGATGAGAGTGAAATTTTACGATGCGCGCGCACCTATGACACAAAATTGGCAGTGTGATATAGCGTGCGCGAGCGAGATGGGAATAAGACAATCTACAAGTAAAAAGAAATAGAATATGCGTGAAGCTAACTTCACGCATATTCTATTTCTTAGCTTAGCAGCTTAACAAGAATTTTGAATGACCATGACATCTGACAATGACATTTACCTTTTAAACAAATATAGGAGTTTTAATTATTGTTTACAATAAATAATTATATACCTAGTTATTTTCATTATACAAATGCGAATTTTATATGTGCGTCTGAATTATAATCAGAAGTGATTTAAATTGAATCTAAATCAAAACTAATTAATATGATAAAATATTTGTGAAAAAACTGTGCCAACCTTCCTGAGTGCTTCAATACAATTGAGGTTAACTATCCGTATGTATTATCGAGTATTATTGTTGATTAAAACTGAAACATGAACCATTATTCATTGCTTTTGTTTATTGCGTTTGTTACAGCAACTTTTTAGAAATATTCTACGACCCTATATATCAATAATTGAGAACAAAGATTTAAGCACGAATACTAATAAGGAGAAAATGAAGGCTTGGAGCGATATAACAGAGAAGTAAACATTTTAATAAGTACCTGCATCTCAAAAAAATGACCACATTATTTAATCAAAACATGTAATTTTTCAGATTTAATCTAGCAAATATAAGGACAAGAGACAAAAAACAATTGATGAATCAGTGGAAGTGCACTAAATTGAATACAAAAAAAGAGTTGTCATCTTATCGCCGTGAAACATCAAAAACTGGAGGTGGAACAAAGCCACCATCACCTTCTCGAGACACAATGGATATGGCAGAGATGATACCGCAACGGTTTGAAGTAGATTTCAATGAATTTGATTGTGATGGTGTCGAGGTAGGAATGTTAATTATAAATATGATGTATGGTGATGTTCAAGGTTCAACCTTTCAAGCATAGGCATATGCTCACAACAGTACTTTATTCCCCTACAGGGTAGTTAGAGATATTGTAATACCTCAAAACATCCATGTTGCACTTGTAGTACCGAAACTCTGTCCTGCCAGAAGTGAGCCCATTCCCACTTATAATGGACAGTGGGTATAATACACCTTAATACCTGAGTGCGAACCACTCACCATGATACTTAAATTAATAGATGTTATTTATATATTTCAGGATATTACAAATAAAATCATTTTGGAAACAATTGATATCCCAAAAGCAAATAAAGCCAACAATGACAAGGTAATAAATCAGTTTTGACATAACTTGAATACTAAAAAAGCCAAACAAAGGTGTGCACAACAGTGACAACATAACTTAACAATTTCATTATTTTGTAGGATTAAAGAAAGGTTAAAGAAAATCATGTCGAACTGAACAACAAGAATCCCCAAACAACTCCAAAGAAACCTACAAGGAAGACACCGGTATTATATTTAAATTATCTCTATCTCTAAATAGAATAAAAGAAAGTTGCTATCCAGGTCTGTAGCATGTGCTACAAATTATATTATTAACACATTTATATAATTATATTAATATAAATGTGTTAAAAATTTTATAATATGAATTATAAAATTTTTTAAGTTTTGCATGGACAGAGCTTAAATTAATATTCTCTTATTTGTTGCAGAAAGCAAGTAGTAGGTAGTTTTAGTTTTGGAGAAACCTCGTAGATGCACAACCAAGTAATGATTAATTTAAAATTACAAACCGAAATTCTGATGAAGACATTAGAGTCACTTAAAAATAAATAGTATAATGAAATAAAAATATTTTTAAAGATAAATAGTTACAATGTCACACAGATACCCAAAACGCACTATAAGCGTTAATGCAATCAATGCTTAGTCTTATTATTCCATTGTGTACCACGAATCAAAGTTATCATGTAAGGGGTTTTAGCTGTAAGATTATAATTATATTAAAGGTAGTCTAATATCGGCCACCATAGTGATAGGGTCTTGCATCGACCACCTTAGGATTAGGGTCTAACATCGACCACTTTAGAATAAGAGTCTCATATCGACTATAAGTTAAGAATACTAAGTGTAATTTACTTAATAAAGTTTTCCTTTTTAAAAAAACCTTTGAATACCGTCGCGATTTGACTGGCGCAGCCGGTAGGATATCCGTCGTAATCCTGTGCCTGTGAAGACTAAAAATCAGTCTGAGTGTAGGGTTGCGCGTGTGTTTTTACGCATTTAACGGATATTTTACGACCAAATAAATTAGTCATTATTGATCGCGTAATTCGACGGTTAAAGGCAAAAAGTGAAAGAAGAGTAAGCAGTTATAAATAGAAGAAATGGGTTGCAGACTTATGTGAGTAAACCTCTTCGCATTCCAACCTGTCCCATTTTATTTCCGTTTGACTGTGTATTGTGTAAAATAGATTTAAGTAATTTTAAGTTGATAAAGATTTTAACTGAAAACAAAAGAAAATTATATTGAATTATTAAGTAAGTAAAGAAAATAAATTTATATTATTTTTAATTTTTATTGTAATAAATAATTTTTGTTAAAAAATGCAAGAAATACGCACTATTCCAACTGATATTCTAAATATTATACCTAAGTTCGATGGGGAACAAAAACTATTAAATTTATTTTTAAATAAAAGTGAGTATGTCATTAGAGCCTTTAGGCCAGAACGTCCGAATATAGCACAAGATATATACATATTTCATGTTATTACAAGCCGCCTTAGAGGTAAGGCAAGTCACTTGATTAGCGAGAGACAAGACATTAATAATTGGGAGGAGCTAAGAACAACTCTTATCCAACATTTCGGAGATCCTAGAACTGAAGAATGTATTTCGATTGAATTATAAAATATTAAAATTAATCAAGGCGAGTCATATTTAAGCTTTTGTAATCGAATCCAAAGCGTCCGTAGCACATTATTTTCAAAAATTAATTTAATAGAGGACGAGAATATTAAGAACGCGAAGATGAATATATATAACCATACATGTTTAAATGTTTTCCTTTTCAATTTGCCCGAAGATATGATGGGGTTAGGGTTAGGGTTGAAGGACTCCTTTCTCCGCAATTAGACTCGAGGTTGGTCCGTTGTGCGTACGAGTCCTGGCTAATTTAGCCAGCCTAGCTCCTTCCAGAAGCACAGAAGTCTCCTGGGCACTTCACAAGCTTCCCGGAGCGACCTCACCGTTCCGAGGATTTTTTCACGTTGATTAGCCACAGCCTCGCATTCCAGGACTACGTGGGTGACTGTTTCCTCTGCGCTGAAACAGCCTCTGCACAGGGGGCTGTCTGTCGCGCCTAGGATAAAAAGATGTTTATTTAGGAGGCAATGACCCGTTATTGTCCCTATCATTATTTTAAGGTTAGTTCTATTTAAGTTAAGTAGTCGCTTTGTCAGTTGCGGGTTTACTGCTGGCAAAGCCACTTTGGACTGTCTGCAGGCCGCACCATGCGACCATCGTTGTTGCTGGAGTTCAGCGGATCTCTGGCGAATCCAGGTTCGCACCAGCGAGAAGGGCAAAGGAAGGAGCGGATACGAGCCAGCAGGCATCATTCCGGAGCCTCTTCTCGCAAGCTCGTCCGCAGCATCATTGCCGAGAGATCCACTGTGTCCCTTTATCGCCATCAGCACGGATGCACTGTCGGATACGAATTTAATGCCAAAGTCATTAATCCCTAGCCGCTGCACGGCTCTGGCTGCTTCGGTTAAGGCGACACATTCACATTGAAAGATCGTGCTCTGTGTGCCCAAGGGTAGGTGTATGTTGATGTTGAGATCAAGAGAGAATATGCCAGCGCCTGAGCCAGACCCTGTTTTGGATCCATCTGTATATATACGTAGCTCATTTACGG